TAATATTATTAGATTACAGTAATAATGGCTAACTACCATGTTTTGATTATGAAATAATAAAGAAAAATCAAACAAAGAAATTAAACTATCAGAACAGATATTTAGTAATAAGTAGCTCATCAACGTAATTAAGTTCCAAAAATAAACTTAAGAAAAAATATTTTATAAAAACTAAAACAGAGAAGGAAAAAAACGGAACAAAGAGAAAACTTCTATTCAAATAACTGTATATGAAGTAAATATAATACGAAAGAAAATCAACCTATCGCCTCCGAAGCCAACGCAGATTTACCAAAAATATGTCAAGTGTGATTGATGTATTGTGGGAAATAAAATACACTTACACGGCGATGTGTGTGACACGACAGCCAGTCTGTTCTCATCTGGGTTTACCTGTAAAAAAGAAACGTTTATTTATATACTGAATAAGCCCACTTATACTTTCATAGGGATTTATTTTCTTTTGAACATCAAAGACAGAATGACAGATTTTATAGACTACAAATTGTATGTTTATGATTTTCTTTGAAGCTAAGTATAAAAGCAAGATGAGGGACGGTATCAATAAACGTATTTGTAACAGTTATACACAATCACAATGTGTAGGAAGTAAGGGCGGACTGTGCCATAGCCTGCGGGCTGCTTAGTGACCTAATATTCTCCTCGACTATTATTCTTCTTTTCTCTAAAGAGAAAATAATAAAGTCTATGTTTGCAGATTAACCCACAACTGAACAGATTGTGTACTGCAGCGGTATTATGAGTTCTGGAGACTTTACTGTTGTTAAGCCGTGATTTATCGGAAGAAAGTAAGAGGCCGGTGATAGATTAGGGATATTTAAAAGACAATCACTCAGATCGCAATGGAGATTGATGGTGTGGAGAGTCATTAACTTTGCTGTTCACGAGGTTGTGGAGAAGATTTCATGTTTTAATTTCGGTTTTTTTTTTCTATAAGCCGGAAAACGAGTAGACAGATCGACAGATGGTAAGTAATCGGCGTCACCCATGACACCAGCCTGGAACACCAGAGGCGTTACAAATGCGTTGCGTGCGTTGAGGATTGGGAATTAGAACATTTTTGGGGATTCATAAGGAGATAATTGGGCCTCTGGTAACCTCACTCATACGACGAAACACGACGCAAGCGTTATTTCACGTCGGTTTTGTGTGATGCCGTAGTTTTTATTAATAATATAAAATTATGTTCATTTGAAAATATTATCGACGTTTGTGTTACCATCGCATTGTTTTATTCGTTTTATTCATCGCATTCTAACTTTTAGTTTATACCTACTTTGTTAAATACACAGTCTATTAAAATAAACACACTAGACAGTTACAGACATTATAAATAGCCTTACTCTTTTCATTTAAAAATCACAATCCGCGGAAATCTGTCTGTTTGACAAAGAGAAAATGGAGTCACAATCTCGAATTTTCAGAATTAGCTCAAACCTGGCGCTTCAATCTGTGTGTAGGTGGTACACAGTCAAAATGCGAAGGTCTTTCAGTCAATACACAACCTAATGTGTTTTTGTCAAAAAGCTTATACGAGATTAGAATACAAATGTTCATACAAAAAGAGGTCGGGTTAACTACACGGCTCACAGTCCACTTAGCTCCGAAATGTACTAATTTGCAAGCGCTAGTTTAGGCTTAAAAAATTACAGTCTACGGTACAAAATAAATGACTAGACCATATTCGAAATACCAGAATAATAGCTAGTGGATATTTTTTGACAAAATGTAGATTAATCATCGCAGCTTAATATCGATGGCTTATACGCAAAAAAGTTCCTTGATTGATGTGAAAATGGTTAGCCATCGGGAATTGCGTTTTATACGCTTAGACAAAGGGTCCATGATCGTTTGGACATCTATTGTGCTCGTATTCTATAGGAACATAGTGTGAGTGTTAATTACATTTTTGGGCCAGTGACGTAATTGCGGCTTTGGTAAACCACTTAAATCTTATTGCGTAGCTCCCTGAAGTGGTTGCTATCTAATTTCATGTTACAGGGCGATTCGTTAATAGAAATTACGTAATGAATATAATAATCGCTTACTTTTGAAACTTGATATGACAAGAAAAGTATGAGATTACAATTTTTTTAATCATAAAAATGGTTTTTCATTGTGTACAAAAATGATCTTAAAAGGTCTCTTAGAAAGATGAAGTTTTTACACCTCTGTTTGGGTCACGTAAACATTTATTTTTTCGTAAAAAATGTACCACCGTATATAATGAGATTGCTTTGCGTTTTGTTAGGACGCGTATAAAAAGTCGTGAGCGATTGCTATCAAGCGTTACCTACAAGTCTTTGCCTGGAAACCGCACGAGTTTGAAAGTTTGCGAAATAAATACGAACATTAACACGTAATCGGGTTACTGCGTTAAGTTTTTACAGCGAACGGTAATAAGGTCAGGTTAACTGTGAATGTACTATCAAGTTACTGAACTAGTCTACCTACATTTTATATGTACCTAGAACTAACTAGATGGATCAAAAATGTACTAGTACATATTATGCAGAAATAAATATAATACTATGTCATCTGATGAAGGTTAATGCTTAGCAGGCAGATTTGGCTTTGATTTTGACGGTTTCATTTTATTCAATAAGTACAAATAAACACGACAGATTATATTCAAATGTTACTAACATTATAAACGGATGTCCAATTATCCCCCTCCCCTGTCTTCCGAATCCCGAATCCTCCACAATCCTCAAACTCCCAATTCCCAAAAGGCCAGTAAAGCACTTGTTACGCTTTGATGTTCCAGGTGTCCATGGGCGACGACAACTGCTTACCATCAGGTGATCCGTCTGCTCATTTACCGGATTATACCATAAATAAAATATATTCCGAAAGTACGTATGTTTGTTACGCAATCACGTCAAAACGGCTAAAGGGATTGTGATGAAATTTGGAACAGCTTTAAATCATGGTCTAGAATAATTTAGAGTTTACTTTTTATCACACGGGATCGTGGATGAAGCTGCCGGCAACAGCTAGTATAAATATAATACTGCCTCATCTAGTGATTATTCCTGCTAAACAGGCACACTGAAATAGTAATTCTCTGCTAAGTTTGGTAGAAATCTAAATACAAAACTGTTATATGGACTTACATAATGAAAGATACCTGAAATTATACGTCGCGTGGTTCCATATCACTATTGGCACCCACGTGGGACAATGGGTCAACATTAACGACATAGTACAACATTAAAACTGTGTTTAGTCCATTCAAGTTTATTACGATCATTGAGTATTGTGGTTCGTGCTCATTCCTGAAATAGTTCATAGAATTATGAATTTAATGCCTGTAATAATACGGTATCTATTTAGTTTTACGAGTTTTTGTTAACATTGTGAATTTAATAGCGTGACTATCTGTCAATTTAATTTTGATGGTGTAATAATAAATTGTGTTGGTATTGGATATTCTATAGGTATTAAAATCATGGTTTATAGATTTTTTATGGGATAAGCTGGTAAACGAGTAAATGGATAACCTGATGGTAAGCAATCGACGTCGCCCATGGACTCCTAGAACACCAGAGAAGTTACAAGTGCGTTACCGGCCGTTTGGGGATTAGGAGTTTGAGGATTGTTGGGGAGTCTGGGGATGGGGGAGGGGGCTACTTGGGCCTCCGGTAATCTCACTCACACAACGCAAACGGTTTTCTGTGAGGCCGTCGTATCACTCATGTCAAGTCGGCCTATACGTGCCGAAGCATGGCTCTCACACTTATTTATATAAGTATAATTCATTCAAAAAACATAAACCTGTACCAAATTTATCAGACCTATAAGACTTGCGATTCTAAATGTAGGTCAAACATAACTTTACCAACACACATACTATTAGAAAAAAAAAATATAAATACAAAATGTCATTGTTATTTTAATTGCTTTATTTTCTAACCGAATTCCTAATCAAAATGTATAATTTACATCATTTGTTTAAAGCTAAAATTTCATCATTACAAAGTCGAATTTATTTCAGATATTCGCTACCACGGGTAGCAGTAATTACGTTCAGAAACGGCGAATAAATTGTATTTTGTAAATGAATGTCGTGAGCTTTGATCCAGTACGAAACGGAATTCTGTTATTAATTATATTATTTGTTCTGTTCCACTGATCGGAAATCATTATCTGTCTTATTTTAGTCCTGCTTAAAGATTTGAGAGGTTTTCTGACTTAGTATACTAATTGAAGGACCCGTGTTTTGGTTATTGGTAGATAAAATCTTTTAATACGTCTGAACGGTTGATGCGCTGACTGGGCCACAGGCTGCCGTGCAAAATGTCGCGAGGTGGAATTCCTCACGGAACAACACTTCATGTGATCAAAACATTATTGTTTCAGGTCTGGGTGTCCATGTGTGGGAATTTGTATGTTTGTAAACGCACCAACGATACAGGAGAAAATGGCAACTTTTTAAATATCTATTAGATATAGTCATCAGCTTTACTTAGCTATAGTGTATCCGTATGCCCGTTTGCTGACCTATAACGTCATAGGTACTATAAAATGTATTTATCGGCCTGTCTGGTATACAGACGACGTGATAGCGTTTGGTGAAAAATCCACGATTTTGCACGTTTATCGCATTTGCATTCCACAGCACACGCCCCCTTCGTTTATTCAAGCTGTAACACCTATTCAATCCATAGATTTATTGATTCCAATATCCTAGAATCGAACTAAGAAATATATCCGTTCAGCTGGCACAAACAATATGTCTGGAACTATGGAACGGCAAACAGCTGACACAGATATTTTCTTTTATCCAAAAATCAGCATACACGCGAATATTGCTAGTAGAAGAAAATAAATCGATTTGTATTACGTCATAATACTCGGCTTAGTCAAATCGTAATCTGATATATCAGAAAACAACTGTTAGTTTGTATGTAATCTAAATAATGGAATTTGATCAAATTGTGGACTAGTTTTCATGTGGGCAATTTAAAAGCAATATCGTTACCCATGATCTGAGATTACGGTTTTAATAATTGTTTTTGTAGTGGAATTATAAATTGGCCCGAAATGTTAGTTCAATAAAGAAATACTACCATAGTAAAACAGGAGCCGCGGAAAACGTCAAAGGTTACCGGAGCTCCAACTCGAAGTGCAGGAGTAGGAACAGTTTAGTTTCTAGTCAGTAAGAGTCAGACACTTGATTTCCCCCCTTAGGAACTAATAAATATGATCTGTCTCATGTCGTCTTCGCCTTTATAAATATTAAAGTACAACATACTAAAGCAATCATTAGTATCCTATCCACTATTTCTGATTAAATCTCCAACAAATGAATGACTTGTTTAAGGACAAAAATCTCACAGCTATCGATCATCCTTTTTTTGCCACAAAAA